GATATATAGATATATATAGATATAGATAGATATATAAGTGAAACAAAGTTGTTTCCTAACAAGTCTTTTCTAGTCAAGGGGATTTTTACAACGCAAAGCCTACACCCCTCCCTCTACAAAGTAAAAACTGACAACAAATTGTTGCATCCCAGGATCTGTTTCTGCTATCATAGTTTATTTTGAAAGGATTAGAAAGTGGAAACTATGGTCACAGGAGTGCTCAGTTTATGCATCACTCCTCACTGAAAATGAAGATGAAGGAGTTTATATTGGACCAGGAGGTACAGGAAAGGGACTGGGTGGAATATTTGAAAAGCCTTTCAACAAAGACTAATTCCAAGAGTGGTTTAGAGTTTTTTTAATTCATCCCTATTTGCAAACAAAGTTAGTGGTAGCCAGTAGCTGCAGCGCTTCAAGTGCAGCCTGGGACACTTCCAGCAGAAATATCAAAACATCGCTGCCAAAACCATTTTATAATTCATAATTGTCAGTGGTGTAAAGATCTATAAAAGAGTGCTCGCCTGAACAGCTACAACATTTCTTAAACTGGAACTGTCAAACAAAATATGTGATGATTTCTCTAACAGGTTGAGAACAACGTTCAGCATTTGTGATTTTACTGGTATTAGGCCATCAGGCAGAAAATAATATCTGCCGATATGGTCGGAGTTTAACACAAGCGCTGCGGCTATATGGCTCAGCACTATTCGAAATCACTTAAACTATTGCAAAGATGGCAGAGGTCGCTGCAGCTGGCAGCAAACCTGGACTTCTATATTGCTCAGGCCATTCTCTATTCCCATTAAAAAATATTCAGACAAAGAATTTTCATCCATCACTTTACAACAAAGAAAACAAGAACCCAGTGTTTAGATTTAAGGATGCCCGAGTGGACTTAAATACTGCTGCCAGCATTCACAGGTTATAAATACGTGAAATCGTCCTTGAAGGGTAGTTGCTCTTTTTTTTTCCTGGCTTTACAGGAAGTCAGCGTGGCTCAGGCTGGCTCTGAGCATCCTTTCAGCAGGCTGTGTTGCCATGCTGGGCGCCTGTCACAGCAGCTCAATGTCAAACTCCTGCTCTACTGAATTAGGATGACCATGAACTAGCCACACAGGTCTCATTCCTGTTTGATGAAATGTTGCCAGTCAGGTCTGTTTAGGAAGGGAGAGGCCAGTTTTACAACTGCTGCACTTACATCATAAGATACATCTGACTTTTTGAACAGAATAAAATGATGTTCAACCAGGCATCCCCACAGGGGCTGATGAGTTACCAAACTATTTGTAGGACGGCAACCCTCAGGATGATTATCGTTCTCCATATAATTTCTTTTACACGTTGTTTAGGACTTTGCCTCCCAGTTTCCGCCTTTTAAAAAGCTTGGGAAGGGCAGAACAAAAGGAAAAGCTGAAAACAATCCAGTATGTGAACTTGGGTTACTGTATTTCCTTTTCCTCCTTTAGACTCCACAGGTGATAAGTTTCCCCTAAACTCACCTGTCAAATTAATAAGCTGACAAGTGAAATACATTTTAGTGTAAACTGTTAACATTTCTACACAAAAGTCTTCATTTAGATGAGCTTCAGTAAAAAAAAAAATGTTTTAAGTAAGCCGAATTGAACATTGGTAATAAATATGAACTTCTGTCTGAAATTCCACCGACTTTATTCTTATTTTCAACAAGAAAATTCAAAAAGGCAAATAATTTGAACGAAGTTCGGCGACAGCCACCTCCTCCTGGACTTACCTGGCCTCACAGTTTTCAACCTCACTGGACTTTTGCAGTTCTTTATGACCGTCTCCACGTCGTACAGAGGTAATCCTGAAATCGAGAGGGTCTCCACCTCCAGTAGAAGTTCCCCTTCCCCTAACTGTCCGTACTGGTACGCCACCAGACCCCCGGTAATTTGTCCGATGTAAGCGAACTCTCCGTTCTCGGCGCCGCCGCGCAGAGACACGTTCAGGTCCCCGCGGGCGTCTTTACTCACGGCGCACTCGTTCACTCTGGAGGTCCAGTGGGGTTTCTTTAGCACGGCTTTGGACATTGTCGCGAACAGTTCGGAGCCGACACCGAACCGGGCGGGCTCTATACGAGAAGAAAGAGTTCAGAGCAGAAGTCTCAGGAAATAGACTCGTACCCGAGTGAAGCAGCAAACTTTCCTTCTCTTCCACAGAAGCATGAGCGCCTCCGACAGTTTCGTCCCGCCGCTCCTTCTGGATGAAAAAAATCAAGCCATACCTGTCGGTTTTGACGTTAATCCTCTCCGTGATGCCGTCCTCGTCATTTTCCTAACATCCCTGCAGTTTAATCATGTTTTCATGTCATGTTAAAGCCTCCACGGTTCCATTCAGGACTCCACTTAAAGCCTTTAAAAAACTCACTTTCAATGGGTTTATTCTTATAGCCGAGTTAACAGCGACTCTGTTCCTTCTTGTCCGTAATTCACCGGCGGTACGAACCGAACCTGAACTCCTTAAACAGGTTTGTGGTTCTGACCAGTTGAACTCCTCTTGGCTCCGTCGCCGCGCTGGGAAAGTGTTGCTGTTCGTGATGGATTCACGTGCAGTGGGAAAAGTAGAGTTTCACTGAACGTCACGTGACGAACCACCTCCAATCAGCGTAAAGTGAATATTTTTGCCTGCGCGTTTTAAAAACATGTTTCGAACTGTGAACATTTTGTTTACTTTTTTCAGACAAGACCATAATCCATGAATAATACCAATTAATTATAGGTGTATTATTATTCTGTTTGTTGTACCGATTTGAATGGAACAAAATAAACATTAAAACCCTTCTGTTTGTAACTTACTGTGTAATGTGAAGCAATTAAACATATCGTGAACACACATTTGCATAAAAAAGAGTGGGGGGAAATCCCTAAAATTTCATACAACCACTTTATCACTTGAAATATTTCTAATTACGCTTTTCTGGCATGTAAAATAACAAAAAAGCATATTTGAAAATTCTGTAAAATACTTAACAATATCAAAGACTGCATTACGTACTATATTACATAGACTACATTAGTTGTAACGTTAAAGTGGGACGCCAAGTTACACTACATTTAGCGCTGAAAAAGGGATAAATCCCAAGCCTATAAGAAACACTTGAAGGCAACAATTTTGCTTGCGCATGCGTGTTGCACTGTTCCTTGAACATCCCGTTTTTTGTCTGTTTGCATATTTTAGTAGGAGCAGATGGTTAACCTCAGTTTGTTTTAATTAATTAATTGATTGATTAAATATATATATATAATATATAATTAATTAATTAAACTAGTAGTGTCCTTTCACTTTTAAATGTCCAGTTATATCTGTGTCAGGTATTTACAGATATTTAACAGTTGGCTCTGTGGAGATTTTATCAGCATATTTTTGTCTCATATATTCAAAAGGTTTGACTTCTGTGGTGATTCTGAATAAGCTGCTGGTGATGATGACTGTACACCTCGCTTGTCAGCATTCCTTTATTTCAGGTAGGACAGGTGCCAAATGTCTCCATGCATGTCAAACACTTACGCTTTCGGACTCTGCTGTGTTTTATTATCCAACACAGAGGTTTTAAATCAGTTAAGCCTTTCCACCTGTTTTCTTATGTATTAAAAACATATACGCATTTGTGGATATCTTTTTTTTTTTCCTTTTTTTTGGAATTTAATTGGAAACCTTTACCCTCAAGACCGGAGAGGGAAGTCAGAGAGGTGGCAAGAACAAAAAAAAGAGCATGAATCAAGAGTCAGAGAGAGGATACGAGGACTTTAATGACAGCCGGTTAAACAGACAGCTGGAACAAAAAGAGACTACTTGATGGGATCACATGGTGTAGGTTTCTCACCTAGGGAGCAGCAGATGAGCTTTTCCCAACCTAAAAATAACAGAGGAGAACTCCGGGGAGCAAAAACAATTGGCCTGGATGACTGGAAATAGCTCAGACATATACTTTTATTGTAATTTTATCCATTTTCACACACACACAAATTCATGATTGTTATTATTGCTCGGTTGAACGTGATTTTATTCAAGGGGGAACCCTCTAATTGCAGGCAGCTTTGGAACAATGAGCATTAATATGGATGAGAACTTACAATCTAAGAGGAAACACGTGTGTCATAAATGATGAACATCTTTTATCCATTAACAGCGCACCATTAATCTAAACAGCCCTAACACTGTGTTCCTGACTTCTGTGTGAGAAATACATTAAGCTGTTACAACAAGGAAGCTCAGTCTGTAACCAGCCACGTGGGAAAACGTCTTAACTCATGTGAAAGGAGAAGTTCAGATTTTTTAAGTAAGGTTTTGTAGAAAGGCTATAAACAATATCTTACCTGTAACATGAATAGGGATTTCATGGTTGTAAACAGATGCACTCATGGGCAGGAAGCAAACAACTTCAACGACGGACGACACGCTAAAGAAAAGAATCGACCCGTTATCAGTTGATTTAGATTTGCACAATTACACAAGAAAATGGCACCAAGGCAAGGACGTGGTGTGTGGTGTACCCAGTCCATGCACGCTGAGAAGTGGATGACCCACCAGTTGGGGGCAAACATCATCTGGATATTTGGGAGTATCTGAGTAAATCTTTGGGTTTGTTCTCCAGAAAGTCCCTGAAGGTGTACAAGTCAGATGTCCATATATCTTCAAATAACTTCAACCGGCTAATTTAATTTTCTGTTGTGTTTCAAGCTCTTCCTGAGCAAAATAGGGCTAAACATTTTGAGCCTGTTGTATTTTCTTAATTTCAGTATCAGCTCAGATCATCGTGTGTCAAGGATAACTGAGCTGTACCTGCGTCTAGGAGACGAATCACAGAATTTTGTTTGCCTGAAAATTAACAGTTTACCTGATAAGAAATAACACCACAGGCACAGCCCTCATTTTTCAGAATCCAGCCCTTTCAACTGATCCCCAAGACCTACTTATTCTGTCAGTCTGCGTTGCTGTACTTGGTACATGGTGCTAGAAGTTTCTACTCCCTTATTTCCACCTATGTGTGCATCCAGCTACGATGTAGGATTGGACAGCATCTCACTGGACTGTAATTGTTGGAGACTAGTTTAAGTCTCATCATTTTTGAGTAAATGGGCATATTTTCAGTTGAATTTATCTGGTTTTGTTCAAAGTGCTTTAGCAGACAGATGAAGTGAAGGCTGCACAGAAGTCTGTTGGAGTCAGTCTCCCCACCATCACAGACATCTACACCTCCAGATGCAGGAAGAGGGCCACCTGCATCATGAAGGACCCCACTCACCCAGCACACACACTTTTTGCCCCGCTCCCCTCAGGAAAGAGGTTGAGGAGCATTAAGTGTAGAACCACTAGACTGAGGAACAGCTTCTACCCTGAGGCTGTTAGACTCATGAATCTAACCAGAATAATCACTGTGAAAAATCACATCATGTTGCTGCTGATCTGTTTCATGTTGCTGCTGATCTGTTTCAATGTTGCTGCTGATCTGTTTCAATGTTGATGTGTTCATGCGTGCTCATCTGCTCACACAGACTCATGTTCATGTTTGTGCTGATGTTTGACGTAATGTTTTTATGCTATTAGTGCTTAGTGTATATTTAGTTGATGTTTTTCTTAGTTCATATCTTAGATGTTATTACTGTTTTTCTTTTACATTTTATTGTTGGATGTAACTGGGACCCTGTGTACATAATTTCACTCCACCACATGTACCACATGTGGTGCGAATGACAATAAAGAAACTCTGACTCTTACTTTGTTGTTGTTTTTGGATTGTAGTTATATACGCTAGTGTAATTATATTAGAACTGTGGAAAAGGGAAAGGTAAAATTACAAGTGTTTATGTATGTTGGAGGGATGTAAACTAAAAAATTAGCTAATTTAAATTTCCATATTAGATTCAATGGAGGGCAGCACGGTGGCGCAACTGGTAGAGCTGCTGCCTCTCAGCGAGCAGGTTCTTGGTTCAAACCCCGGTCCAGGGGCCTTTCTGGGTGGAGTTTGCATGTTCTCTCCGTGCTTGCGTGGGTTTTCGCCGGGTGCTCCGGTTTCCTCCCACAGACCAAAAACATGCATGTTAGGCTGATTAGTAACTCTAAATTGTCCCTAGGTGCGAATGAGAGCGTGGATGGTTGTTTGTCTTGTTTGTCTCTATGTGGCCCTGTGATGGACTTGCGACCCGTCCAGGGTGTACCCCGCCCCTCGCACAGTGATTGCTGGACATGGGCACCGGCGACCCCCGTGACCCAAAATGGAATAAGCGGGTAAAGATAATGGATGGATGGATGGATTCAATGGGCCCAGCAATATTTGAAAAGTCAAGATGAGTGTTTGATCTGTGGAGACAGGAGGTCAGAAGGTTCGACTCGTGGATGACTTGAACATACATGCTCTCATTAAACACATTGAAGAGGCCAGTTTAAACTTTGTATTTTATTAGTCATTTTATCAGTATTTGAAAACATGATGGAATAAACCCAACAATGATCATTCAGGTCATCTGGACATTTTTTTTTTGTTTGGTTTTTTGCTGAGATGTTTCGCCCTCCATCCAAAGGGCTTCATCAGTCTGAAAAATCACCTAACAAAACTGATTCTCCACCAACAGCCTACTCCAAAGTGTGGGGGGGGGGGGGGGGAACAGTTATGTTGGTGCTAAGATGGCCTCTGGGGCACACCCTCTTTTCCAGTGCTTGCCCTCTCCCTCGACAGTCATGTCAAACTGGTTAAAAACACCAAAGTCCACGCTCAATAATCCAGGTATAAAATCCACCAATGATCCACCAATATCCATCGTTGGATTCCATGCCTGGATTATTGAGCGTGGACTTTGGTATGATGGAATAAAATTCTGTCTTTTGGCCAGATGATGCAAATCAGGAGAAGAAAAGAAAAAGAACTGCAGAGATTTCTGTGGAGTTATATTTTGTTTTTGAATGTGTTTTTTACAGTTACAAAAAATAAATGGTAGTGATTCATTTCCTTCGTATGGATTTCTTATAATGACACTCAAACTCCTGTCTTTTTTCATTTCACCCAGTAAAGACTAATTAGCCACTTCGATTTATTGTCCATAGCTGTCACTGGCAGTATGTCCTCTCACAGCTAGAGGTCTGAGCTGGTAAGAAGGACGATGATAAAGGATAAAGGCAGGTTTACATCTGTT